TTAGAAGGCTGTGGGTTTGGTTTAGTTAAGTTTGGAAATTCCGCGAGTATATCTTGGAATTTCGCTGTTGTTACTGGGGGAGTTTGAATCAAGTTAAGAGAGTTGATGTGACTTTCTTTGCCTTTTGTGTAATACGAAGTTTCTTTTAGTGTTAATCGCCGTTTCTTGGTGTCAACTAGAAAGTCGTATCTCTCTAGAAAGTCCATCCCCAGTATTGCCAGATCTAGGTCGGCTACCGTGAAAACCCAAGGGAATTGCCTCCTGAACCCCAAATCTAGGGTTAAAGTTTTCTGCCCAAATGTCGCAATTTTAGTTTTATTTGCAGCTTGAAGTGTAATTGATGATGTTTCTCGACTAATCTCAGTTTTATTTCGAGGGATGATGCTAAGAGCAGCGCCAGTATCCACCAAGAAATTCAAGCCCGAGTTTCTGTCTCTAACATAAAACAAGCGACTGTTTAGGCGCCCCTCCTCAGTCGTCGCGACCTGGGGAGGGGTTACTCGTTTCCCGCTGTCTTAGAATTATGCTTAGGCCAGGCGCATGGTTGCATGCACTTGGTTGAGTTGACACCAAACTTCCAGTGGTACCAACAAAACTGCCCAGATTGTCTGGACATTTGTGACCTGTTTTGTGACTTGGATCGTGGTCGTTGTGGTGACCTGCTCCTGTTTCTATGACCCATTTGCATTCTGGTGACAGCCTCAGTGAGACTCTTAACACTCGCAATGAGTCCTTCTATTACGGGGTCTTTTGCTGATTCTACTTTTTGTGTGTGATTTATTGTGCCTGATCCAGTTGGAGGACCTCTTTCCATTATTCTGTCGGCTATACGCGCTAAATGAGATAATGAGGTTTCAGGATCCTGTGCATCCAAACAGTGTTGGACGTAGCATGGGAGAGCTTGTATCCATCCTTGTTTTAGGACTGCTTCACCCACTGTGTTATCACCCACTAAGACTTGGAGGTGACGTAAAAACTGTGACGGCGACCGATTACCTAGTGTTTCACCTTGAAAAAGTCTTTGGATTCTTTGACTATCTGATAATGATAAACGGTTCATTATCTCTTGTCTTAAGATGGTGTATGGTTGTGGTGATGGTGGACTTAAAATCAAGTCACGGACTTCTTTGGCGACTGAAGGAGGAAGGATAGAACACAAGTCTCTATAGCGAATCCCTTCAGATTTGATATTGTGTCTCGTGAAATAATGCTCTAGTTGAGCAAACCACAACTCAGGATCACTACGATCAAATTCTGGAAGTCGGGATTTCGTAGTCATAGCAGTGTCTATCTCCACTGGTGACAAATCCTCCAGATTATGGGTTTCTATTGAGTCTGACATGAGGTATGTGACAAATATATCAATAAAGTTAGCACAAAAAGTGGTTACTATAACACGAATAACTTAAGATAATACGGAATAAACTAGTTATATACTCAAATTAGTTTACGGATAATCAGGTCTACTTTTAAGATTAAGTAAAAAAAATGTTAATAACAGAAATGAGGTTAAATTTGTGTTCAAAAAGGGCTCACCAGTTTCGTGCCTTAAGGTAACCCTCGTGCTATTGATAGAAGAAACCAGAGAAGTAGTGAATAGGTCTTTATTTCGATCTTCGCGCAGTCGCAGTGGAGCGTAGGATTATCTGTTCAGACAAACAAAGGCTCTCAACATTCAAGATAATAGGGAATATAACGCTTATGAAAAATAAGGAAGTGAATGAATACTTGAACAATACTGTTTTGGCATAAGCTTGGTTGTTTGGGGTCAACTCTTAACCAACCAACCTGAGCTGTTACAACTACATTGGCCTTAGAGCAAGTAACAGACTTATATGTTATCATGTAGTGTACAGAATAGCATTCAGCTCACCAGTAGCACGTACGAAGCAGACTGCCCGTAAGAGTACAAGTAAGAAGGCTCCAGGAAAGCACTTGGCTACCAAAGCGGCACGAAAGAGTTCGCCAGCTATAGGTGGCGTTAAGAAACCTCATCGTAATCGTCCTGGAACAGTTGCCCTACGTGAAATTCGTCGTTATCAAAACTCCACTGAGCTACTGATACGCGAACTGCCCTTCCAGCTTTTGTTCCAGGAGATCGCGTAAGACTTCAAGACTGGCCTTCGTTTCCAAAGCTTTGCAGTTTCTGCCCTTCAAGAAGGAAGCGAAGCCTGCCTTGCTAGCTTTTTCGAAGACACTAACTTGTGTGCCATCCCTGCCAAACGTGTCACTATTATGCCAAAGGACATCCAAATGGCTCGCCGAGTCCGAGATGAACGCGCTCAAGTCGACCTATAATATTCAATGACCCAAATGACGGATGATTTGGCTAGGGCTCAGTGAAATTTCACTGGCCCTACAACGTAAAAACTTTCCAACACTGGTATTCGAGTCTTTTCTGATGAAACTCTCCTATTTTGGAGATCCCTCAAAGGAAGATATTTTTCTTTGTTAAGAGAGTTAATATGATATAAGAATGATAACCTGTCTAGTAACAGCATGTGACGAGTCTTGTTGCAAATTGATACATGATCTGACCAAGATTCTTGACCCGCCACACTAAGCTAGTAGTTTGTCTTGAGAATTAACTACGTTTATAATTAATATTGAAAGGTTACAAGTCGTTCATTGAGAGAGATTATTTTCCTCTGGTGTTTGAAGCTTGAAAGTATGCTAGTCACACTTCCGAATTTTGCACTACACGGGTGGTTGGATCATATGTTGTTTTGAAGGTCAGTGGGTCCTATACTATACAACTTCGATGGATTGCTCGAGGACTTTGTTTCGAATAATTTTATTTTGCATGTATTACACAGATTTACGGTAGGATTTTTCTATATAATTGAATCCCAGTGCGTAGTTGGGTAAGCATGTACGTATACATACATGCTTATTTTAATATATGCTAAAACCTTGATTGTAATACAACTGTCTGTCATTAGAAAAAATAATCAAGATTTGATCTTAGTTTTAAATTAATAGTTAAAACTTTCCGACAAATAGTTACCAGTTTATTGTTCTTATACTAGTATTTTGTACGAAGCAACTTCTACTGCCATACTTTTTCCATCAAATCTTAAGGTTGGTTATTAGAACTAAATATCTGTTCATATTAATAAAGGTAAACTTGAGTGGTAAAAGTTAATTTGTGTTCGTGGAGTTCTCACATGGTCACTTAGTCACTTTGATGTTGTTCATTCATCTGGAGTTCATATGCCAACTAAATAGCAGTATCGCTGCTCGTTCTAATCATAGTTCATCGTGCAACTTTTATCTAACAATTCGGTAATGTTCCACCTAGCATAACACAACACTACCAATAGCACTCGTCAGCTAAATCTTTTCCATCATTCCTGTACATATAGTGGTAGAATTACGGTGTACCAACGCCCCTGAGTCAGTCAACCAGAATTAATATAAAGCTCCACGTATTTTGCATGAAGTTTAGTAATAGATAACTTGTACGCTATCATTAGCTGATTAAAAATTATTAATAACTGATGCCCCACAATCGTAGTATTTCTCGACCTTAAGGTGGAATTTGACTCTGTTGATCGTGAGGTTCTATGGCAGTGTTTGTCACTGAAAGGAGTACCATATAGGTACATTAACCTTGTAAAGGCTCTCTACTCGAAAACAGCTGGTTGGGTGAGAGCTTATGGCGAACTGTCATCAGAATTGATCACCTCAAGTGGTGTTCGTCAGGGTTGTCCACTTTATTCTTGTTTAACTTTATTGTAGATATGCTTTTAGAGGTATCACTTTCCTCATCTAAATTTCCAGGGGTTGAACTTCTACCGGGAGATCCACTTGGTGACTTAGAATATGCCGATGATATAGTTCTATTTGTTGAAGATGCTGACAAAATGCAGTCTTCTGACCACTATATGCAACAATGCAAGCATGTTCGGCATGCGATTCTCTCTCGAAATGTAAAATGTTGCTTCACGATTGGGTTGTATTGACATCCGAACTAATGATAGGGAGTGAAGTAATTGAGCGTGTCGACCGCTTCACTTATCTTGGAAGTCTCATCAGCCATTGTGGTCTGGTGTGTGACGAATTTTCAGCATGGATACAGAAGGCTCGACTAGCTTTTGCCAATTTGCGTCATTTATGGCGTAGGCGAGATATCCATCCATCAACCAAAGGACGTGTTTACTGTGCAGCAGTTCGTTCCGTCCTACTTCATGGCAGTGAAACATGGCCAGTGAGAGTAGAGGATATTCGTAGGTTATTAGTATCCGATCATAGGTGTCTTCGAAATATTGCTCGTATATCATGGGACCATGGAGTAAGTAACACAATTATTAGGAAAAGGGTACTAGGTAAGGATGACAAATCAATTGATGAGGTAGTGAAACTTCGTCAGTTGAGATGGCTGGAACACGTGTTACCTGTGCCCAACAACTGACTGCCCCGAAGTGCGATGTTTTATGGTGTAGGAGTAGGTTGGAAGAAAGCTAGGGGCAGCCAGACCAAAACATGACACAAGTCCATGGAGTCACTGACAAGTGGACTGAGTCATGTTGGTAGGTGTAGACTACGTGGTTGGGGTCCGCGAGATGATAGCAACCGATGGTTAGAGACCCTGAATGACAAGGCTCAAAATCGTTGGCAATGGCGCAGGTGCATCCACTCTTTGTGTTCTGCCGAATTCTAATCTTCTGAATTCATATCCCTTTTTTTCTCTCCAAATTTATTTCACTGGATTATACTCCTTTCGGATTACTGCTCATGCTCTTACTACCTTTACCACTATGGGATTTGAATCGACAACTGCACCTCTGCTAATGTGGTGTGGCAACTCAAACGTACGTACGAAGTTTTACGTTGTTACTGACTGATTAATATCTGATCCTTAAAATTCTCGAAATCCAAAAAGTGGGTTTAAGACGGTAAATTACAGTATAATATAGTATGAAGAACTAATACCACGATAAAGGTGTATTGCTTATTTATTTCTTACTTCTCGACGTTTACTTCCTTTCCTTCTCTGGATGCACTCCCTAGCCTCTTTATTCATGGTTCTCAATGAGCGTACGTCACATATTGTTGTTGATACAGCACCTTTTGTAAAACGTACACGTCTCGAGGTAAGTGAAATTCGTAAAATCTTTCATCATGAGCGTTTCTAGACTTTCGGTGCAAGTATTTACACTATACCACAAGTTTTAGCTGAAATAAAAGATGTTCAAACACGTGAATATATGAATTGTTTACCATATGCCCTGAATTGTCAAGTACCAGAAACTAATTCTATTAACATAAGTAAGTGTCAAGAAAATCTGGTACCTTAGTTATTATCATAGTTAAAGGTATTGCAAAACAAACTGGGGATCTGTCAGTTCTTTCTGCAACAGATATTAATGTGATCGCTTTAACTTATGAACTGCATAAAAGATATATCGGTGAACCAAAAATTAAGGATGTGGTAAGTCATTGTTATATCACTATACATATACCCATACCGTCAGAAACCTTTGCCCAGTAACCTTGGGTCTTTAGCTCGTTCTCAATTGCCAAAATCGAACACAAAAAGCAATCCATCCGTTGATGTATGTGATGGGGCAGAAACATCTGGATCTGAAAACAGTGATACAGAAACATCTGAACCGGATGATGATGATTGGATAACAGAAAACAACTTTGATGAGAAGGCCATGACTAATTTCGGGCTTGGAGGAAAAATTGCGTATGCTAACCTTTTTGAGGGTGTTTGGTTGTTTCTAACTAATCGGTTACTGTATTTATTGATTTATTTGCTCAATTCATGGACGGTCTTAAATTTATGTATTTCAGTTAACCTATGTAATTTTGCATGCTGTTCCTTCCGATACAGTTGCGCAAGGTTCAGGGTAGTGCCTAACAGAATGAGATTTGAATCTGGTACGCACTGGCCAAATGTCACATTTTTATATGGCTGACATATGGGTCTAATATTTTTATGATGTGGATATAATAATGTCTCAACAGCATTGTACGTAACACTATTTATGCCTAACTTTTAATATGACAGTTGACTCAAGGATAGATTAAATGTATGGCGTCGCCACATTTAGTGAATTTCCCCGAACACTAATTTTTCATGCATTTATCATTGATCTTGTGAAGATTCCCATTAATTTATATATTTCCTTGTGCGAGTTTCGCTAATATTCTGCAAAGTAATTCAACCAATAGATCGAAGGTTTTTATACTCTCCCGTTTACTTTAGTTTGGGCATGCAAGTAAAATTACATTTTAAGCTCTAGAACTGATACATACTTTTTATAACGGAGAGTCGTCCTTCTCGAATAATATCTAAGCGTAATTCTCTTTATTACCACTGATACTGTTACTACTTCTATTACCCTGTTATTTGTCTGGTTGTGCTATGTTGTGGCAACCAATAAATATAAGTGATAAACTGTACGTTGTTTATGACTGATTGTCTAACACAGCAGTACATCTGTAAGCGGGAAATACCAAGTAGTATTTGATAAACAAGATACAGTATAATAAATAATTATTCATTCTCTTTATTTTAATTTTCTGGATTTGTTTCTTGATACAAACGTATTTTGTTTTAGAGATATACTGGAACCAATCAATGAAGTTGAAACAAACGTTGTAGCTTGCTTGACAACTGATTTTGCTATGCAAAATGTTCTTTTCCACGCAGGTCTCGACATAGTAAGCATAAATGGTTTGCGCATTCGTCAACCAAGAACACACTTACTTTGGTGTTGTGCTTGCTTTAAGTGAGTCTAGGAAACATATGGTTTATATTTACGTATTGATTAATAATGGTGTAATGACAAAGTTTGTAAGTGGTCTGCTGATGATATGATCACTCGTAAATACCCACTTCATTTCCAAATTACCATGTTCAACTGCCACCAGCCTAAATTCCCCATTGCGATTTGCGTGGAAGTAGGTTGTAAAAATGCTTGGGGATGGCCAAACTAAGACAAAGCACTAGTTCATGGTATTATTGACTGTTGGTGGATAAAAAACTATCCAGATGTCGTTTGCATCATAAAATCATAATCACTTATTATACATCGTTGGGTGACATGGCTAAAAATCAGTCGCGTAGTGAAAGGGTATTCACCGTTTAATCTCACTTCACTTTTCAAATTATATTTTCTATGTTTAGTTATTTTCACCATTACAGACTCCATTATTTCTTCGACTACTGTACTAATACACCTTATTAATTTACTCACGTGCTGCACAGATGTTAGAATTTGAACTAATGCACATTCGTGACTTATTTATTTGTTTAAATTATAATTGATTCGAACTCAAAGTGTTCAGTAGAAGTATTTCCGTTGCTCACTTGACAAGTTTCCCGTGTATCCGTTGTGCAGTGTAGAACTTGACAGCGCTCTGATGTAATAGTGACTGGTGACTTTAGTGCTCAAGTAGGTAAACTAAACGTAAAGGAAAGACATTTGGGCGGACCTTATGGTGTCGATAGCAACTGATGGTTAGAGACCCTGAATGACATGGCTCAAAATCGTTTGCAGTGGTACAGGTGCATCCACTCTTCTAATCTTCTGAATTCTTCATGTCCCTTTTTTCTCTTTCCAAATTTATTTCACTGTATTATACTCCTTGAATAACATCTTCAAACCCTAATCCTCCCGTTTACTGGTTACTTTTACTACCTCTACCATTATGGGATTTGAAACGACAATTGTATCTGTGATAATGTGATATGGCAACTTAAACTCATGTACGTACGTACGACGTTCTACGTTGTTGCTGACTAACTGGTACTCTATGTCTGACTCAATGATCTCAAAATACGAGACCAATGGTCTGAAAACATCCATAGTCGAATACTAGTACATTACGAATATCCTATATTCTTAACGAACATGCCTTACGTCTATAAAGCAGAACAAAGCACACTGCTGCACAGTAAACTTGCCCTTTGGTTACCAGAAATATTCTCGTCTACCCCACAGGTAACGCAATTTAGTAAAAGCCAACCGAATTTTTTGAATTCGTGTCAAGATTTCATTAAACATCAGGGATAGTGTTTTATTTGTAGGATTTGAACTATTTTACTAAGTAGTTGACTTGTCCCAGCGAAGATCATCTCAAATATAATATACTCAAGTTAAACCTGTGAGACACTAGTGACAGTCCTTATAGAATTTAGGAACTGAGAACATTTAAAGAGAAAGAGCAAAATACTTGATTGATTGCATATTGTTCAGTAATGAGTTTATCACATCACACTTCACTGTCCTGCTTGATGCAAATGAATCTTCATGGATTTTAATATAATTGAGTTCAATTTCTCTCCATTTTATTACTACAGGCCTACTAAACGTACGGACACCTACTTTTGCCCATGGTGTGGACATGCTAGTCTACGTCGAATCCCAGTTACTTTACACGAAGATGGCCAGTTAGAATTTCACTTTGCGAAAAGATTTGTGCACAGACGGCGCGGTTTAAAAGTAAGTAGTATATACTAAATGATGTCATTTTGTTTTGTTCGTAGCAACCAGTAAGAATCCCAAAGGGTGGAAAGTATGCTGACGAACCAATTTATTGTGCAGACCAACGTATTCCTGACCGAAGACCAGCCCGTCCTAAAAATCCAAAAGTGCTTCCATTAGCTACTAACGGCTTATTAGGATTTGAAGATGAAGAACTATCCAATGTTTTGGAATTCCAATGTAATTTAAGCAATGCATCATCAGTGGTGTTCCCATTAAATGACGTTACTAGTCGATCTGCACTCTGTGGTATTCGATCTGATCATCAAATACCAAGCAGAAGCTATTTACAAGGTGTACATGCTGAGCATGGCCTTAAACCAACAAGAGGCAAGGCTCATATAGTTAGACCAAGAACAGGAAATAAGAAGAAACATAAATCTTAAATGTGATTTTCTTCATTGTATATTTCTAGAATATGCATTATTTTATCAATATATATATTTCATGTGCTTGGTTTTTCATTAATCACATGCCTTGCTAGTGTATATCAAGTAGTTGTAGAAGGAACTAACCTTCGAACGGCAACTAAACCCAAGTCTACCAGCCAAAAAGTGCGATGTGTTGGAACCAGATTTAAAAATCAAGCACATCCTAATTCCTTTTGTCACCACTTACAAATCATTTATCATCAAATAAACCTTAATGTGTTTTAACTACTTTCACACCTTACTGTCTTCGGAAACAGAACGTGCCGTTTGTCGGCTAAGCAGTAGAGTCATGTAGTTTTATTAGCCTATAGTTTTGTATTAACAAACCTCTTTATTAATGCTTCCATAGTAACACAAGAAGACAGATATCTACATAACCTGTTGGTTGTTTACACTCCTACTTTGTAGTTGGATAAGGAGATTCTTTAAAAAATATCGCGTTAACACGCTCTTATTAACAGAAGTCACTTAGCAATATAGCCAAGCGAATTAATACGACGATAAGAGCGAATCTTAACTAAAAACACACAAATAACAACAAGTAGCTGTTCCTCCGATTACCTTAAATCTCACTAAACCACATACATATCAGAAGACAACACCTAACATGTAAATGCAAAAATTTACTATTTAGCAGAAGTACAAACGCATTCTTAACTAATCAAAAGTCCAATGGAAAAATGATTGGGAAGTTTGTGCTGAATAATTAAGTGGTATAATGGATGATTGTTGGATAAGGTTATTTAGACCATATGACCCTATGATTTAATGAACACCACACAAAAATCCTTACTTCAATGACCAAAAACCTAAGACGTTAATTTTTAATCTAGTGTTATTAGACTTTAAATTAAACACCTTATAATAAAAATCGTCATACGCTTACTAAACTGATGTCAAAATGTGATACCTGGGTTTCTAGTGACAAGCCGTGATTGATAGGGTCCAACTTCGTTGTACATGAAACAAATATTACCAATGGTAGTAGATGGCGGCAGCGTAGTATCGCGAATGGGCTGACGTCAGAGATGTCAGTCATTGAATGACAACTCAGTAATTTTAAAGTTAAGCACTCGCCGCGAGGCTTAAGGATTGTATATTCGATCTCTTGTGAAAGCGCATTACCAGAAGGAAATAGCAGTTCAGTGATTATATAGGCACAACCAATTCTTCTTCATGTGAAACGTCGATATCAACAATTTCCACGACATCCTGTAATGATAATTTAGTCATTTCCTATCACAGTGGTGATCCTCCTCTAGTTAAATTTAACAAAATCAACCAAATAACTTGTGACTATTGCTAGGTTAGTACGAGTGACCTTCAGAATTATTTATTAATCTCATGTTTTTAAGCTGATTTCGGCCGTAAATAATTGCTAGTTACTAAGGTGGATAGTTATCGTGTCATTACGAAAGTAATAACTGACATCTCGGGCCAATCAGAAGTCGGCTAAGTGTAAAGTGCACATGATTAACCAAGAAATGGCTTTCATTCCTATAGGATGGGACACGAATGGTGGCTTAACTCTCCAAGGGAGATATATATGATTTTCAAAGTCGTGCATGGAGGACAGCTGGCAGACGCATTCCAAGTATGGACCGAAGTCAGACAAGGCCGTCTATTCTCCTCGTTTCAGTTCTGGTGGTTGACTGGATTATGAAGACCTGGACATCTCAAGTAAATCACAGAATACAATGGACAGGTTGGATGCAACTATATGAATTGGACTTCGCAGATGAATTAGCCGTTCTATCCCATACACCAACAAATGCATATGGAGCAGCAGCCTGTGTATCACTAGACATCAACATACACAAGGGAAAAGCAACAAGTTCAAATACAACACGGAGAACACCAACCCAATCACACTTGATGGAGAAACTCTAGGAGAGGTGGAAACATTCACGTACATGGTCAGCAGCATCATCGATGAACATGAAGGACTCGATGTAGATGTGAAGGCAAGGATTGACAAAGCAAGGGTGGTACTCCTACAGTTGAAGAACATATAGAACTCAAAAATACTCAACTAATATCACAGTCGGAATCTTTAATACGAACGTCAAGACAGTTTTATTGTATGGAGCTGAAATTTGAAGAACTCCTACAACCATCATAAAAATGTACAAGTATTTCTAAACAATTATCTGTGTAATATACTGAATGTGCTTGACCGGATACCATCAGCAACAGCCTGCTGAAGGAAAGAACAAACCAGGTTCCAGCTGAGAAGGAAATAACACTGGAAGTGGATAGGACATACATAATGGGAATCACGAACCAAACGTTAACTTGGAATCCTGAAGGGAAACGAAAAATAGGAAGGCCAAAGAACACACTGCATCGAGAATTGGAAGCAGACATGAAAAGAATGAATAGCAACTGGAAAGAATTATCCAGGACAGAGATAGATGGAGAATGCTGATGAACGACCTATGCTCCTTCACGACGGGTAACAGGCGTAAGCAATATATCATTCGGTTTGATCAGTAAGCTTTCTTTCTCATTCACTCTTTCCGCTTGAGTGACCAGTTGAGCTCATATCAAGACAAATTATGTATCAGTTTCAACTCTCTGGCATACCACATGTCACAACATTATTAGCATCAATTAACCTTGGAGACGAATAGACATGAGATTAAAGCATCTCGAATACCTGATTTCTGAGAATATCTCTTACTCATGTGTTTTTATTCCTTTGAGGACCATATGCCAAAGGATACAGTTTTTGGCCGATTCTACTGAAGCTAAGATGAACAATTCTAATCATTCTAGCAGTTATCATCTAATTGCTGTGATTTAAATACAATCAACACATCAGTTCTAACGTCACACTGAAATCAAAGTGCAATTATTTCAACTGTTAATATGTGTTTCGGAAAACATAGTCAACTTCAATCAAAAAATAATGTTTAAAAAAATTCAGCATCCTTGTACAATTTGTAGAAATGAAATGAAAGTTACGATAAACCAAACCCACTTCTTGACAAAATAAACATGAATTAGGCGATGAATTCTTTTACGATACAAGAACTGTACATAGTGTTTTCCAAATAAATTATATCGCTGTGCCTCTTTCAAGGTTTTGTTTAATTTCAGCTGTATATTTCCCATAATGTCGGTCAAGTAACTCATTATATCGTTTGTTACGCTCATTAATATAGTCAATATCAGCATCGGCATCGAATGGACGTCTCCGACTGTAAGCTTTACGCTTGACACCTTGTTCAATTATTTGTTTAGCTAGACGCTCAACAGCTTCAGGTGTGTCTTTGCGATCTGTTAATCCTATTGTATCAGCAGTTGGAAAGGCTAGATCTCCTCTGAAGAAGAAAAACAAACGTTTGTGCTAGAATTAATAAACATAACAGTACAAATCTAATCAATCATTATATTCCTCTTTTTGTGAAAGTAAATCATAGCAACGTTGAATTAAAGACGTACGTGTTTAGCTTCAGGTTGTCACCAACTCGGCATAGCAAGATAAAATTGTCAAGAAAAATGCTAGTGTAATAGAATTAACCAGCCGTATAAATAGTTGTAAAATAAAACAGCAACGAAATGCTTTATAACTTAGGATTTAAGGAGTACCTGCATTAGTGAGACTGATTCTGAACCATGCCACCCAAATTTTTCAAACATTGGTCACAACAATAACGCAGACCCCGAACAAGCAGTCTGTATCTACTTACACAGTTCAGTACAATAGTCAACGACTTGGCGGACTGATTCCACTTTTTGGTTTGACCGCCTCTAGCCTGCTTGGTATATCAGCAAACATTACACATCGAGTTAGGCAGTGGACGGACGTACATAATACATGTACCTACCACCTTAGCTGAAGATTGACTGGCTTATCAGTCGACTTGTCATTTTTATCTAATACCCTGTCCTAACCTTAGCACTACCGACTCTTATCCCAAGATACGCTTCGAAATGGCACAAGGAAACATCTGTATAACCTAGAAAACAGTGAATACTTTATGAGCAGTTTATTGTACAGGACTTAATCAACCATGATAAGTATTCAGATGAGACCAGGTTTGACTGTTTTCCTTGAGGTTCTTTGATGCTGGTGGTATTTATCATGACTTCGTGATTAACACAAGGACTAATTTGTAAAAATCTCACATAGTTAGGCGTAAGGGCGAGAAATTTTACTCCAGTAAAGATAAAAGTGATCTAGCTTCAACTGACTCATGATCTCAACCATTGAAATTACTACAATCTCCACAAAAACCCATCTGATATTAATCAAAAATATGCTCACTAGTGACTGGCTTCACGAGGTATATCCTGGAGTTCTAGTGAGAAGTAGTGACCAGTGGAGTTCAACCAGGTCTGTTGTGAGGTAGTAACTCACTGAAGACAATGGCGAATGGGTCGCTCAATTTTGTGGATAAGTTGAAGTTAGACATTAACACCGTTGAATGCCGGCTCAGTGGTCTAGTGGTTAAGTGCTCGGGCGCGAAACCAGTAGGTCCTGGGTTCGAATCTCGCAGGGGGGGAGATCGTGGATGCGCACTGCTGAGGAGTTCCACAATAGGACGAAACGGTCGTCCAGTGCTTGCAGGTTTTCCATGGTGGTCTAGCTTCAACTGACTCATGATCTTAACCATTTAAAAGTTAATAGTCAGCATATGGAGTTAACTGTGAAATATCAGGAAGAAGCAAATGTGCGAATCAGTAGTTTATCATACAGTTAGTTAGTGCAGTTAAATCTATTGACATTTTAAATTGCATACACCCAGTTATTGATTATTTGCAGTTATTATTAGGAGCCCAACCAGGTAGATTATATCTATCAATGAGCTTCATGAACTGATGGCACGTTTTGGTTTGGTAGCCCCTATCTTCATTCTAGTCTAGTCATATACAACAGAGCATCACTCACCAAGGTAGATGGTGGCTAGACATATATATGTTCTAAGATTTACAACCTCATCAACCGACTTTCCATCTTTACCTAGTATACTATGTCTTACATCAACATTGGTCACATGTTGGTCTAAAAATATATGAGTAACGCTTTCAAGATACCCATGATTAAGAACTTGGAGCCTATGCACACTTTCTACTTTCATACACCATGATTCACAGCCCATAAAATAGAACAGAACGAACTGTTGCGTAGTATAAATGCTATTTGGTTGGTAGACGGATATCTCGTGTAAGACACAAGTGAAGAAAACTGGCAAACGCCAAACGGGCTATCAAAACATGTGCCAAGATTTCGTCAGACACCCACTCACCAAGGCTGATGAGACTTCCAAGATAAGTGAAGTGGTCGATGTATTTAGTTATTTTATTCCCCATCACCAGTTCAACGGTTAACCCAGACCAATTTTGGAGAGACACTTTGCACTTAGAAGGAGAGAAACGGATCTCGAAAATATTAGCATTGAGGACCAAGGGTCATAGTCAAAAATGACTTAGCAAATATCGGGTAGTTAGTTTTTCTACTATTACTACTATCAAGACATTATATCACTCGGTTTATCAATGAAGTAGCATTGTTAAGATGAAAGGCATTAGGATTGGGATAAAACGCGAGACTATTTTAATTTAATGTGATGTTTATTTATTCTACTTTTAATTTGATATGAAGTCTGTTTAGAACAATATCTGATTTGTTTTAGTATGATATTTATTCAGTATAATATTCTTTTATATTAACTTGGTGTAATATTTGTTAAGCCTAACATGCAACACACCGTGTTGATTCTGCGTAAAATGTATTTTTATACTTCCCTTATTTCGTTTATATATCATATTTGTTAACTAATCACCAATGCTAGTAAAATCTATTCAGACCTAAATAAATATATTCGACTAGAGCGACCAAATTTTCAGAAGATCAGTAAAACCTTTATTCTCTCATTAGATTTGTCTTTTCCCTATGTCGCGTAAATCTCAGTTTTCTTTCTGCTTTAAGTAACAGTTTCCACAGTTATAAGAAATAAAAACGAAGATGGCATTTTCTTTTATTCGGGATATAGGAAATATGGACCCTTCATAGATTCCATTTGAAAAATAATACGAAAATATGAAGGGCAGTGATTGGAGCGGGATTCGGACTTGGTGGTTAAGAGTTGAACACCTTAACCTACGGAATTACGGCTCAATAAAAATAAATTTACAACATAACATAAAAATTCCAAACACACGTGTAACTTACAATTTTTCTTTCTCCTTTTGATAAGCAATCAAATCTGGTTTAATCTGTTTAGTCATTTTAAGATATTTACGATGTGATGCATCAGCGTATGTTGAAAATCCTTCATCTGTATTGCATTTTTTTCTTCGTCTTATTTCAAGACGATCGGCGATTTCAGCACTAACATTTAATGCACGCATTCGATCTGGATCAATTTTTTGTTGATTACATTCCAATCTAAATAGTTCATCTTCTTCTTCCCATTGTAATCGTTTTTGTCGTACTTCCCAGTTTGATGGAAGTTTTGATCGCTTATCCTCTTCAACAACCTGAATATGATTAGATTTTCTAGCCTCATTCTAAAAAAAGACAAGAAACTCTCAAATTTGTTTTATCATAATAAACAATCACTGTAATCAATATTACACGTTAGTTCGGTAGTATAATAATTCGCAAAACTTTATTTATTTTTTAGTAGTGATAGTGATTGAAATATGTTTTGACGGAGCTAATACTGGGAGTATTGCAACGTTTGGACTTGTTTTACAGACTATTATCGTTTACACGTTTATTATACATGTACCTGGGTTATTGTATGAATCTTCCCATCTGTTGGACTCACTAACTATTGTTATACGACATACTGTTCCTTACTTAATTACGCCTGTTACTCCTCGTGGAGAAGCATAGGCCGCCCAACAGCACTCTCCATCCAACCCTGTCCTGGGTAATCCTTTCCAGCTCTTTCCAGTCGTTATTCATCCTTTTCATATCCGCTTCTATTTCCCTACGTAATGTGCTCTTCGGCCCTCCTCTTTTCCGCTTCCCTTCACGATTCTAAGTTAGGGCTTGCCTTGTGATGAAGTTTGGTGATTTCCGTAATGTATGTCCTATCCATTCCCATTGTCTTTTCCTAGTTTTCTTTTCAGCTGGAAGTTGATTGGATGGATGTTGAGTATCTTGCGTAGACAGCTATTTATAAATACTTGAACCTTCTTGATGATGGTTGTAGTAGTTCCCCGGGTTTCAGCTCCGTACAGTAGAACTGTCTTGCATTTCGCATTGAAGAGTCTGACTTTGATATCAGTTGACAGTTTTTTTCGAGTTCCATATGTTCTTCAATTGTAGGAATGGGGCCATTGCTTTGCCAATCTTTGTCTTTACGTCTGCATTTGATCTTCCTTGTCCATCGATGGTGCTTCCCAAGTACGTGAAGGACTCCACATCTTCTTGAGTTTCGCCATCAGGTGTGATTGGGTTGATGTTCTCCGTATTGTATTTGAGGATCTTGCTTTTTCCTTTATGTATGTCGAGGCTGCTGCGGCTACACTAGTTGTCTTCATCTGCATTTGTTCGTGTGTATGGGATAGAAGGGCTATGTCATCTCCGAAGTCCAAATCGTCTAATTGGTTCTGAGCTGTCCAATGTATGCCGTGTTTTCCCTCAGATGTCGCGGTCTTCATAATCCAGTCTACCACCATAAGAAAAAGGAAGGGGGAGAGTAGGCAGCCTTGTCTGAAAACGCTAACCAGAAAAATATTGTTTCTTAAATATTATTAATTATTTATGAACCGTTTGATCCGATCTCGGCCACTTACGGAAAAATATGGATAAAATCCCCATACCTACGATTCATATGTATAAACCAACGTGTTTAAGATAGATATGCTGGGTACTTTAAATTTAATGATAAAAGATTACTTGCGGTGTTCTTATTCGAACCCAAGGAGCGATAAATGCTTGTATTGACGGACCACTAACATTTAAAATTATGTCGTCAGTGTACAAGGTTACTCTTGTTAGTTTACGAGTCCTATTGATCAAGTTAAGTAATAAGGTGGTAGATGGACTAGAATACTCGGACTCGAAAATACCAATAAGAGATTCAACTGCTGCACTTTTTCATGAGTTATAGACTACGAAGTTGCAGGCTTGGGAATATCAAGAGACTTGACAAGTTTCAGCGTAGTTTGGCTTGTGTACATACTGTGACGTTTTAGAGTGACATTTCTTTTATTAAAATACAGTAAATAGACAGATTGACTACTTGGAAAGCTTCAAATTGTTGGTTTCACACGATTGTCATATGACTAGATCTGACCTTAAAAGTGACGAGTATGTGACGATCGTTCTTATTAGTTTTACTTAACCTAGTGTTACAATGTTCACAATTTAATTGAACTAAATACCAGTCTTTTGACGACTGATGTTTCGGTCATAACGCTCATATCAATTAGATACAAAACAAACTTTACTTAATTAATATAAGAATTTTCTGACTAATTAATTGAATAAATATAATGTACTTCATAACTGTGTTTGATTAGCAAGACGATGAAATTTAGTGTAGCACAGTATGCGTGTGGATTGTCAACTTAAAATGATGAGACATTGTTGACCCGTAACATGTAAAGCTGTTGAATTTCCCTCAGAAATTAAGATCTTTAAGTATTATTTTAAATGTAAGTATAATCTTTGTTGTTACGGGCTAAGTATAGTGATGAGTTCCATACTTGTTCATTTATTAGAAGACAATTGAGGAATACATGTCGGTTCGATTTTAAGACAGAAATTGATATTTAACTAAAAAGCTAACAGTATTGCAAATTAATAGGAATATACTGGTTAAATGGCATACACGTCATATGTGTGTAAAAAGGCATAAAGTATGGATAACCACGAAGATGATTCAACACCCCAAACGCCCTGGTACAACTAAGAGAAGAGTGTCAGCTCTCCTCTCGAAATGCTCTCATATGGCCACGTGCATACAACCACTACCAGGGAAGTCCTATTCACTGCCTTCTCGTGGCCGAGGTGTTGTTTATGAACGTGAGAGGACAAAAAGGGAATATCCGACCCTTTAACGTGGTTGGTAGACATACAGGATCCACCTAGGGGAGTTGGAAAACTTTGATTCCAAACCAATGGTGTACATGGGCTTCAAAATACTAAGGGAAAAATGGCGTATGAACCTATTGTAGGTCACTGGCTACCATGGGACTGCATCTCCTTACGTTGCTCCACTGTATTGTGGATTAGACCTCTAGGCCAAAAATTCGGGGTGTGGCCTCCTAGGAAAACCATCTGCTTCGGTTTGGGCACCCGAGCAATATCCCAGACCTTAAACAAATCGGATGATTTATGTGGCGCGTATATATTTGGTGCTTCCTTGTACCAATGTTTATGTGATGCAATAAATAAACAAACTTATTTTTAGAACGTAGGCTATTATTACGGCTGTTTAGAAGAATATATGTTTTATATAAACGAATAGAGATCTCGAACCTACCACTCTTAAGTGAAGTTCCCTGAGTTTTTCCATATACTTTGAGGACCCATTGGCCCCGGTTGTGGACATCTTTAGTCTATATAAACGGATAAACAAAATTAATAACAATTATCACTATAGAGTTTTGACTGGATTATTTCAAATAAATGGATGATTAGGTGTTTCATTTATAATATAAGAGATACCTTGACTCAAATAAAAAAGCATTCACATGATTGGACGTATTACGATCATATTGAATGTTCTGCCGTACCATGTAAACTTGAGTTGATTTAGTTCAGGAATTTATGTATTTTCTACAGAAGAAACTTACACTATGCTGTTAGACATCTGAAATCTAGTTTACTAACCAACAGCATATTACAAACATACTGGTATTACCATAAAATTAACAGACATGCGCCCTGATATGCTTTATTTGAACAACAAACTGTCTCTGTAGTGTGTTCTATTTTGAAAGCCCAGTTGGATCAGATTAGTGTGAGAACAAAGCATATAAAGCTAGTCAAAATCCAGTCGAAACAACTAGCAAAAATATCTATTTTATTAAAATGTCTATTCATACACTTAAATGACAGAATGAAGTATCCCAATGATCAATCTAACCCACTGTCCTAGAAAAGAATTGAGAGATTGAAACGCACGCGTAAGATGACATGATAAGTTACCTTTCGTAGAAGATAGCCTAACAAGACAGTTATACTACTAGATTGTAGAAGAAACTTTACATAGACGCCTGATGCATGAAATAACATATTTGATCAGTTACTGACGTCGAAATCCTGACTGAAGATGACAACAAAACACTGGAAGCGCTGAACAACACCCGTTACCAATGAGAGCTGAGAATTGTGTGATGCAGAAAGGAAAATGAAGACGGAAATCTTTACATCACACGCGTTTTTATTAAGACTGAATCTTAGTCGTCATTCAATAGGGGTAAGGGAGCACCATTAGGCACAACTTACAATCCGAGATCAATAACATGGTACGGTCAGAACACTAGGGATTTTCCTAACCACTTAAACAGAGAAAGTCGTTTAGTTTGAATGAGAGCTTTTTCCAGCGTTTACTTTGAGTAGAAATGCTCAAAATCCATCGCATAGGAATAAATAAAACGAGGGGAATTTATTGGGAATAATCGCTTAATAATAAAATAACCTAAGTTACTATCTCAAGGACTTTTACGACGTAAACAAATGAAGCCTGAGTTATATCATCCGAACCACGAAAACCAACATCTGGAAGACCTGTGTAGGTTTGAACTTTGAAAGACCTTATAAATGGCACAAATATATCCGAGAGATTTACTTGAACTCCAAGCAAAATGAGGGCAATTGTATATATGTACCATTCTTTGAGTGGACTGATGTCTGCCTGATGTCCTACTTCAAGGTAATATTTTCAAAGAAACTAGTTATATGCGAAATATACGAAGTTATCTGTATGAAAGCATGAAGATTTTAAGGTGTTAGTGTAGTGATGCAGTTAAATAACTGATGAATCGTATCACTATACACTACGTGGACTCGTGCTACCCAAAGTAAGAAACTATAAAGATTTAGGAGTCATATTAAGCAATGATCTCAAAGTCACTAGTCACTGTAAAGCTGCTGCTGCAAAAGGCTATAGGGTATTATGGTCAATTCATAGGTCTTTCCAGTATTTAGACGATGAAATGTTTAGATTACTATACCCGATTTATGTGCGACCACATTTAGAATACGGGATTCAAGCAGCGTGTCCTTGTTTCAAGTATGAAGCAGATATGCTGGAAAGAGTCCAAAGACGAGGTACTAAGATGGTAAAAGATCTATCTGGTCTGTCACATGAAGACAGACTGAGACACCTTAACTTATTTCCGTTATCTTACCGTAGAATACGGGGTGATCTAATATTGGCTTATCGTATACTGAACAATGACCTTGATATTAACATGTCTTACCTCTTGCTTCCGTCTAGGACCGATCATTTGAGAACACATTCGAAGAAAGTTCCAAAACCGAGATCAAAACGTTTACGTCTGGAATTCCGTTTCTCGCACCGAGTAGTGAATTACTGGAATTCTCTACCGGAACACGTAATATCAGCACCTGCTGTTAACATATTCAAAAAGAGATTGGACCTCCACAGTATTACAAACTGCAAGGATTATTATAGGTCGATAGACCTCCTATCCTTATTACTGAAGACTGAACATTACCAACAGTATTTATAATTGCTAATTAACTATGTGAAATCCAAAAGCCTTAATTTCTTAATCCAACCCTAATCAACTATAATTTTTATTACCAATATGGATTTAAAGTAAGTTTAAATTTTTAGTACACAGCCTGTTCTACATATATGTAGTAAAAAAAATTCCCTAAAGTTTTTTTAGTTGATATATAATGAGAATATAATCTCAAACTTCATTGAAAGGCACACAAAAAATTGTTTCTTATTACCACGATGAAAATTGAATGTTTTCAGGAGGGATCCTGTAAACAAGTATGTCTCAGTAGATGAGTAAAGTAACGCACATTACAAAAAACGCCATGACTTCTTGTACAGTAAACAATATCTATCGATTCAATTCAGCATCCAATGATAGAAATATCAGATCACTTGACTACGTCGGTCGCTGAACACGCTTTTACGTACGGCTTTTTAAAACAGAATGTTCGTAGATTGATCAAAGAATACTTTGTTCAGAAAGACGTTACAACGTGCTTAGAAAAAAGGGATCTTACTTCAAATTCGTGAACCTTCTTCCGATAATTTTAAGACTTTGACGTGATGTCATACAGACAGTAGTATGCGAAACGTAATCCCATTGTGTTCTACGGAAAGGGAATAAGGATGAGGCATTTCTTGCCCTAATAGACACATTATGGTAAGGTCACTGAATAACGTAAAACTCACTTTTTTGAAACATTTGAGAACATCAGCATTTCCAATAATATTTCAAATATTTGATTGGACCTAGTGATTTATTACGGTCCTAGGTGCGTGTGACATAAAACGCGAAGATAAGCTTCCTTAACTGATTCAAAGGTTTCGGAAAATGCGTTAAGGCTTCCGGAATTGCTAGATTACTATATAATCGTTTTTAAGCAATGAACTAAAAATCTAATCAAGTCTTTGTTCGCTTAAGCTTGAGGAAGTAGCATCACAGTAATGGTGGACCAATGAGTACTTGTTAAATCAATGCAGTTGGACTACAGTTCATTCACACACAATGCATGGGATGCTCGCCAAACTCTGACTTGGCACTTAGTCATGTGGTTCAGCATGGGGATCGTGCTTAAGGTGATCACTAACTTTTGCTTCTATCACCATATGTAGAGAAGTACTGAAAACTACCATGTCAATCCATTTATATAGTTAAAATATTAGCGGCCTTAAGACAATATTTTCTTCCAAGTCGCGTGGTATTTATATTCATTTATACAACATCCTATATACTTCTGCCAGTTGTCTTCGACAAAGGAGCAAGTTTTCTAACCAAACCCTATGTTTTCTTGTAACCATGAATTTTGAGTGCTTCTTTTTTCGTCCTGCTCAACTTCTGATCTTGTGGTAAAAATTAGTACCACATTAATGCATTACGTCAAAATACAATTGTAGGTTGATGTCATATTAGTATTGTATTTATTCAGCTTCGACTTTATAACCGAGGAAAATTTTAAGTGGGATCTCCAATACAAATGTTCTTCAAAACATATTTAAGTGGTTGTATTAATTAACGTTGATAAAATACTACGTGTCATTAGAATATCTATAGATTGCAATACTATGAGATAAATGGAAGATTTAGCAGAACAGGTTTATTCTTCATTTGCCTGAAAGGATTCCGAACTTCTCGGAGTCAAAAAGAGATGTCGGAATTTCCTATTTTTGATCCAGTCTTTCAGATATCTAACGTGAATGAAAACCGCTATGACTACCATGTGTTGTACCTCAGGAAAATTATAATTGAACTGGGTACGATAACAGTGATAAAACATATGACCAGGAATATTTCTTCTCTATTGCCTGGATAATACGATAGTATGTTAATGCGATAATAAGACTAGTCACGTAATGTCAGAACCAGGATTCACGACCCAAAATGGAAAACCAGATAACGGACTAGATGGTGCTTTATTCAACAAAGTTACGATCAGTCACGCTAGGTGAGTCCGGTATAGAAATCAGTGGCAGCCAGGAAAATCACATACCTAATAGTCTAAAGATTATCGTTGTTTGTCGGCGCCACATGGTCAGTCACATTTTTGTTTTACTACCAAACATCAAACAGTGAGTCAAATAATCACTGTGAATAAATATTGTATGGTTAAATGGCTTTGTAGGTCACCAATGTAGATTGTCTTTGCCGAATGATTGTGGGATTACTTGAGCTAGACGTGAATGGCGTGACTAACAGCTAACGTCAACGTCACACCTCTCGGTCAGCACCTTACAAAGATTACCCCTTCGTGGTATATAAGTATTGTGGATGCATTAAAGACTGTCCAAACAAAGGACGTTATTACAGGAATATATTAGTTGAAGTAGGCACAAACGAAAGTATGACAACCACCGTATAGGCTAGTCGATGACGTTTGTTTGTCTGCGACCATGAAAGCAGCCGAGGATCTGTTCGATATTCTGTGACATGACTTCCGGATGATTTGACCAGGGCTCAGTAACATTTCACTGGCCTTACCATTTCTTGGCACATCAGCCTGTACTCTGCAATAAGTATAGATTCAGTAACCACCAACAAAGTGCGACCGACCTATCAACGGGATTTCGAAGAGAACAAACCGCAATCAAGTGACAATACTCCTTAGTGGTCGATAAGTCCCCCACACAAATAGGTCCGTAAATCTTCAACATTGATGCCAACCGTATGGGTCTTACTAGACAAACCCTAGCTGAAAGCGCCCAGTCACGCATTGATTATTCGAAAATGTGGAGTCGCCAATTCGTTGGAGAAACAATCAGATGCCAGCCCGCTTAAACTGGGTATTTATAAACGAAGAATTTCCGGTTGATAACCTCTCAACCCTGGGTTCCCAGGGTAGAAGCGATCACGCCGTCCC